AGAGCGATGCAATCGAACCCTTTAATACATGATAGGGTCTACTTTGCGTACAAAAGGTATGGTGGGTAGATGGACAGAAATTAGAGAGCGCATCACATATTCATACAATAATCTTAGGCATTCTAATGCTGCACAGACACCGATGAATTTGTTTTTTTGGTAGACCGATCCATAAAATTATAAACCTGGAGAGGGCCAACGAATTGTATAATTTTTTCAGAAAATGAAATAGAAATTTTAGACCATGGGAATGCTGCAGAAATTGAACCACTGCCAATTTTAGATGAAGAAACGGATTTATTAAATATAAATTGGGACATACTAGCTCTTACTGAACAAAACGGAAGTAATATGAATAATATGAGGTCTATCGCTCGTGAATCTTTTCACAGAGCTGCAGAAAGAGTGATAAGAAGAAGCAGATGGCGATATGATCGTTTTGATTTTGAAATTGGAGATCGTGTAATGATAAGACCAAGCCTTGATATCAATTTATCTATAAAACGTAGGCCTTTATATGAACATCTTGATACTCGAATTTACATAATAATGGATATAATTCGGGCCAATAAAGTGGAGCTTACCAGCTAAGATGATACTAATAATATAATCGAAGAAATTGCTACCGCTGTTCTTAGAAAAATTTAATAAATAAAAACTTATTTGGTATTTTCTTTAAATTTTTTAAAATAACTATAGTTAACGGTGTAATATAATTCTTCTTAGTTTAATTGGTTTGTTTGATTCTTTTGTCTTAAAATTCATTCTCCAAAAAAATTAAATAGTTATATTTGAGATATGACACTGCGTTTCACCCTAGAACCTAAGCCTAAGCAATGTTTAAAAGGTTACAAAATTATAAATTGAAACAAACTAACAAAGTTGTTTCATTAAAGATATTAAGTACAACAAGCTTAATATATAAATGTTAATCTAAGCGTTGATATGAAACCGAGGACGTTAGTACAGTTAGTAATCTCTCTTAAACTATTGAGCGTTTTCTTCTTGTTTACGGTACGAATCCCAAAGCTGTCAGTCTTGCTTGATAAAAAAACATTTCACGACGCCTGATGCCGCTATGAAATTTTTAATTATAGGAGTACTTAAACCTGGCATGAATCGTTATAAGATTCCTACCAAAAAGATTCACGGCCGCTATGGCCTGTGATATTAAATGTGACTTGAACTTCTTTATCTAATCGGGGCGCCTTTTTACAATTTACTCAAATCCAAACAAATCCGATAATTTAGTCAAAATTGTTCTTTTGTTCATTAAAATGTTTTTTTTAAAAAAATGCAGCCTGGTTGTGTCCACTCCTCTCCACACTCATTCGAAGCAAGGACGGTGCACGGTGCACAATCAGGCCGCCTTTCCAAATTTAATTTCATTTGGCGCCTTCCTCGGGAATTGAACCACGTAATAGTTTTAATGTATTCCCATTACCAGTTTTACCATTGGTACCAGGCTAGATCCTTTAATTATATATATTCGACAAACAATAGTTTAAAAGCTTTTTAAATATTTTAAATAACGATTATGATGTCCACCGTTAGATAGCAAAAAGAATGCTTTTATACTTCCTATGACAAAAGATAAAATAAAAAATTTTATTATAAAAAAGTAATTTAAAAATAAAGAAAACATTAAAATGAAAAGAGCTCAATTTAATGAAAGAAACTTTAGCGGAGGCTGCTCAAATATAGCAGATGGGAGATTAAGACTTCTACACAAGAATAAAAAAATAACATTAATAAAAATATTCTTTAAGGTTATTGTAAAATTGGGAGATATATCACGGGTTGTGAAAAATACGATAATATTGTAAATATCATATGGAACCGTGGTATTACAACCATATGCTTTAAGTAATTTTAAGCTGAAGTGCTATCCATGGTACAGAAAGTAGATATGGGTTTTTTAAAAAAATTTAGCCCCCGTTTTTGA